GGAGCTGCACACGGATATACTGCATCGTGTAAACACCGCACATAGCGAGGTATCCATAGAGCTGCGTTCTTCATTGCAAGGCCCGCGGGCCACTGACGGCCCCTGGTGGCCTTTAGTGTGGACCTTGACATCCCCCCCCCTCACCCTGACAATACAGAAGGACTGAAAACACCCCCCCATCATCATCATCGTGCTGCTGTCAAACCCCCCAACGATTTCAAATGGTGTGGCGGCAATCACACTCACTGATGTCTCACCGGCGAAAGTGACAGCCCCCCCACCCCGACCGCCACCCCCCACCACCTCCACCCGCCCCCACCACCCACTCCCCCCACCCCACCCGCTCCTATCACCCCACCCGCTTCTACCACCCCCCACCCGCTCCCCCCACCCGCTCCCCCCACCCGCCCCTACCACCCCCACCCACTCCCCCCACCCGCCCCTACCACGCCACCCGCTTCTACCACCCCCCACCCGCTCCCCCCACCCCACCCGCCCCTACCACCCCCCACCCGCTCCCCCCACCCGCTCCCCCCACCCGCTCCCCCCACCCGCTCCCCCCACCCCACCCGCTCCCCCCACCCTACCTGCCCCTACCACCCCACCCGCAACCCCCCCCCCACCCGCCCCACCCCACCCCACCCGCCCCCCTCTGAAAATGAGTGAAGAACGTTGTCACAGAGATGTCGCCCATTAAAGAATAATGCCGTAAAATAAGACGGCTATTTGAACTGCCGGGCGGCAGCGCGTGTGGTTTGAAATTTCGGAAACGCTCCTCGAGTTATTTACCACGAGGCGTCAGACGTGTAACTACCCCTCCAATGAACTATACTCCGAACAAGAGAAACGCCAAATGTGTTACTTTATACAATGCGAAATAAAATTAGGGAGGTTTCATACGTGCGACTTTTCACAGAGAGAAAAGACTCCGCACACAAACAGTGGGTACATCTATTTGTTTTAAACTTATTTTTTAATTTTTACCAGGTTAAGGCTCACCGAGCTGCATCGCTCTTTTTTTCAGAGGCGACCTGGAAAATAAATGATAGCCCATTGAAGCGGCTTATCATGTGGAAATGTATAGCAGTAAAATACTCTAAACACGTGACGTTGATTCTAAATGTGGAGTTAAAAACCGGGGAAAACACGCAAACTCCAAATATACAGCAGGCCTCAGGGTCGAGGATGGAACCCACGACCTCCTGTATACCAGGCGATCAGATTATTAAAACAATTACAATACCATATATCTCAGGAGTAACTGACAAATTAGCCCGTGTTTTGCAAAAGCAAAACATGAAAGTAACATTTGGTACAGTACACAAAATAAAAAAAACTAGTATCTTGTACTAAAGACGAATTACCTAAGTTATCAACAGAAGGTGTATATCGGATTGTTTACGTAGCAGATGCTATATTGGACAGACGGGACGTAACATCAGCGTAAGACTAAAATAACACCAACGAAATATTAAATTATCTCAAACACAACTGTCGGCAGTGGCAGAACATGCTTGTCAACAAGGACACTCGATTTTGATAACGTTGCAGTGTTATGTAAAACTAATTATTACTGGCCAAGACTAATTAGAGAATCAAATGAGATTGAGAGAAACACAAATAACTTTAATCGCTCTGACAGCTACAGGCTTAGTGCGGCCTGGAAGCGTATCATTAAATAATACATATTACAATTACAATTCCTTATAGGGGGAAACACGAATCAACTCTGCAATAACAACACCTACTCGTGGTGAACATGCAGCCTTCCAAAACAAAGAAGGCTGCTGTCTCTGGTGCAGGCCAATCCGTTTCCAAGACAGTGCATCATAGACTATGAGAGCCACGTGTTTGTTTGCATGTTCACCACAAGCACCGTGTGTGTGGTCAATGCAGTTACTTGATTCCTTGCAAAATGTTTCTATTTGGTCTTTGAACATCTTAACACAACTCCTTTTTCTATTATTGCCACAAAGGGTAAACACCAATTGTTATTTTTTTTTCATACTTCCAAAGCGTCATTTATCATCGCGATTGGATTTAGTTGTAAGGTTTGACCTGTGAAAACTCCGCCAGGATCGCGGCATCACTTTGCGGTGGCATTGTAACTTTGAAAACAAAAACAAACAACAAAAATACTCGGCGTGCGTGCATGTGCACGCGGTGGCTAAAAAGTCCTCCACATCTGGGAGAAGAAGAGAGAAAGCGACGTTGAACGGTGCGCGTAGATGCAGGGGCACACGAAAATGCGATGGGAAGAGAGAGAATCACGGGAAGTGGGCATTCCTCGTGGCATAGCTCACAGCATCATTTATGCGTGGGCATTTCAGCGCTGCACGCATGCACGCATGCAGCGAGGGGGAAAAAAAGTAATTTGATCCCCTGCTGATTTTGTACGTTTGCCCACTGACGAAGAAATTATCAGTCGATAATTTTAAAGGTCCTGAAGTGGCCTAGCCAGTCTCCAGACCTTAATCCCATAGAACATCTGTGGAGGGAGCTGAAGGTTCGAGTTGCCAAACGTCAGCCGCGAAAGCATAATGACTTGGAGAAGATCTGCAAAGAGGAGTGGGACAAAATCGCTCCTGAGATGTGTGCAAACCTGGTGGCCAACAACAAGAAACGTCTGATTTCTGTGATTGCCAACAAGGGTTTTGCCACCAAGTACTAAGTCATGTTTTGCAGAGGGGTCAAATACTTATTTCCCTCATTAAAATGCAAATCAATTTATAACATTTTGACATGCGTTTTTCTGGATTTTTTGTTGTTATTCTCTCTCACTGTTCAAATAAATCTACCATTAAAATTATAGACTGATCATTTCTTTGTCAGTGGGCAAACATACAAAATCAGCAGGGGATCAAATACTTTGAGTTGCAACAGCGGTGGATTGGACAGCACACGACAGGAGCAATGGAAGAGAATCGCAGCCAAGGTGTTGGCGAAGATCTGGCACTCTCAAGTTCATCCTCTTATCTGCGTTCATCCGCTCTCGTTTGTACGGATAATAAGGAGGTTATTTGCGCGGATAAGGGCGCATGAGAGAATCTGCCAATAGCGTGGCGTTATTCTATCACAGTGTCTCGTGGAAGCATCAACCGCATCAGAACATCAACGGGCCGATGGGCAGAACACATCTCCTTCATGAATGGAAAATTAAACACACGAGCCACAGTCGTGTGATTGTGGCCATGCAGCCCAAAACTACGGACCATGTGGTAAACACAGAGACACAGAGGCTCAGATACAATAAACCCAGAGAAACTCAGAGACCCATGGTGATACATTAACGACATAAGCCACACTAGTGTGTTTGTGGCCATGCAACCCAAACTATGGATCCTATAAGTAAACCCACAGAGACACGTAGAGACTCAGAGACCTATAGAGACATATTAAAGACACAAGTCACAGTACTGTAGTGTGATTGTGGCCATGCAGCCCAAACTATGGGGCCCTACAGTAGACCGCTGTAGCCTGCGCTCCTTCAACGGAGGAGGAACGGCGAAGCTACAGGAACTCTCTCTCTCGGCTGAATCCCTCTCGTCGTGGCCAGTAGCAGACCTCGACACTTTGGTTGGCATCTCGCTCCCCAACAGTGCCACGATCAATCGTAGAAAATCGCGGATAATAATGCGATGAATTTACCGCTTCCGATTTGCTCTCTCTATAATCGTGTATCGAGCGCCGATCGTAAGACGATTATTGCAACTCAATCCATGAATTACACACACATCCCAAAAAACATGTGTATGTTACCAATTATATTTATCAGTGCCCCTCTGACACTCTACATTTTCTAAAAGGCAGGGGCAATGACACGAACGGCAAGGCTGTAACGTCTTACGGAGGAGCCAAAAGCTGCCCGACCTATCACTTGCATCTTAATCTCATCAATAATGAAACGAAAAGGGTTCATTATTCATCCAGCGGAAAATCGTCAAGTGTCTCTTTTTTTTCAATATCTCTCTCTCTCTCTCCAAGGAGGACCCTGGAGACCATTGTCACAGAATCCGAGGGAAACCCGGAGAAAATCCACGCACACTCCAGGCGGTGGGAACACTCAAATTTCTCGCGAGCAATTTCTGTTGCAGACAAAAGAAGAAGAAAAAAAAAACACGACTCTCTGATGTGGGAACAAAAATGTTAATTAAGGTAATTAACGATGCCTCCTTCGCCAACGCGTCTCTTCGTATATACAGTGTGTTGCAAAAATGTTAACACTTACATGGGACTATCGCTTTTAATGGGAAAAAAGAAACGGATAATACTACACTGTAACGTGATAACAAATGTGATGTTAATAGATTCAAAAAGTCAAAGAGTCTCCCTCCACGTGTTCGCCATCATTTGTCAACGCGTGCCTGGAATCTCCTCCACGTGTTCTCCAGAGCCCAGAGGAAGCAGCACACTTCTTATGGCGTTGTCGCGAATTCTCCCCAAGTGTTAACATTTTTTTGAAGCGACCCGTATATTAAAAAACGCGTTAAAGTATTATTGGACACAGTCCATCGGGGAATTTGTTGTGCATCTTATCAGCAATACTGGCATCAACAGCGGCAACCGCTTGGACGGGTTTCTACATTCGGAGTCTTATCGGCAGATTCAGGCTTGCTCGTACTGTAACCAATGGATTTTAACAATTATGGCAGGCGACGCTTTAACAATGATTATTGCGTCTGGTTATTACGAGCGCGCGAGTACATAATAACAATTCCGTCATGCCGAGACCCATTTTGCTTGCGTTAGGAGGTTTCTCTCGCCCGAACATGCAAACACGGGGCTATTCAACCGGCGTACAATTCGAGCAAGCGTGGCCCTGCTTGATGAGACACAGAACATCGGAAACCCGTTCAGAGTTTCCTTCATCGAACCAAATGATCATTCGAATGCTCGGCTGCAACGAATGTGTCGAAACCAAACGAGGCATTGTGACGGTGCGTGCCCGTCAGCTGTTTAAATGACAAAGCGGTAAATGCATCCATTCACTTCCATCTTACCAAAGCAGAATGTTTTGCTGCTGGTCTCGGCAGTAGAAGCGGCGGTGGTTGCAGCAGCAGTCGTGGTGATAACAGCCTCGAATCGCAAGCAAATTACGAAGAAAATCCACGGCTCACATCGCCGAATAATTCTGACAGCTGCGGCGGCGGCGGCAGCAGCAGCAGCACCCACAGCGCACGCAGAGTGAATGGAAGTCACAAATCGTGCGACTGCTTGCTGGCTGGATCCAAGGCAATCCGAGGCATTACATCACCTAGCATGCGTGTGTGCCCACGGTGTGTAACAAACACACACCGCACACACGGTACATCTGTCTGTCCGTGTGTGCGTGTCTGTGTGACGGTGCAGACCCGATAAGATAGCGCATCGAAGGCTCTAATATAACTCTCTGAACAGCAACAGCCCGACTGAAAGACGCTGAACCGCAGCGTCCAGCTGCTATATAAAGCTCCCCAAACCCACGGCGATTCAGCTACCACCCATCCCACGCGTTCGACTCGGGGCAGGCTTCTCTCACAGCATCGCCATCAGCGAAGCCAGCAAAGAGTGTCTCGGACTACGAGACAAATGGCTCCATTTGCCCAGCAGCAGCAGCAACATTAGCAGCACCACAGCGCTGCGCCGTGGTGAGAGTCTCGACGTGCCTCTCTCTCTCTGTCTCAAGCGCAAACACCGCGGAGGGAGAGAAGGGAAGGCGAGGGGGAGGAAAAGGGAGGGAGAGACGCAAGGGGAGAGTGGGGAGGCGTGGGGTAGGGTGAGTGGTGGTTCATAGTCGGCGGCGTTGGTGGCGTCACGATAGCGAGAAGGGGGACAACAGCGGGAGGAGGGGGGGATGGCAGATGTATTGAATGGGAGGTGGTCGTGGCCTGGGTATGGTCTTCATCCAGCAGTGGATCGATCACGTGTGATGATGATGATGGATGGATGCTACGGGCCCCGCGCTAAATGCTTTCAAGCTATCAATTCCGGTTTCGGTGATTCTGCACTTGCTCTATTACTATAGTACTATACCGCCTTCAGCTTTTCATGAACGACTGCGTGTTTAAGGCCAGCGATTTGTCGTATTATCTGGCTGTACCGCAAATGACAAAATACAATTACTTTACTATACAAGTTAAACATTTAGTGTTTTCATATTTGTGTTTTTTTTATTTTATTTATGGCCCCTTCATAACATATGTTACAGCCAGATTGTACGTGTTACCGAACGTGGAACGGCCCTTTGCACAGCGCTCGCAGCCAACGTCGCTACAAGGAGCGGTGGCGCCGTGGGTTTCGTTAGCCAGCCGTGGGTTTCGTTAGCCAGCCGTGGGTTTCGTTAGCCAGCCGTGGGTTTCGTTAGCCAGCCGTGGGTTTCGATAGCCAGCCGTGGGTTTCGTTAGCCAGCCGTGGGTTTCGTTAGCCAGCCGTGGGTTTCGTTAGCCAGCCGTGGGTTTCGTAAGCCAGCCGTGGGTTTCGTTAGCCAGCCGTGGGTTTCGTTAGCCAGCCGTGGGTTTCGTTAGCCAGCCGTGGGTTTCGTTAGCCAGCAGTAGGTTTCGTTAGCCAGCCGTGGGTTTCGTTAGCCAGCCGTGGGTTTCGTAAGCCAGCCGTGGGTTTCGTTAGCCAGCCGTGGGTTTCGTTAGCCAGCCGTGGGTTTCGTTAGCCAGCCGTGGGTTTGGTTAGCCAGCCGTGGGTTTCGTTAGCCAGCCGTGGGTTTCGATAGCCAGCCGTGGGTTTCGTTAGCCAGCCGTGGGTTTCGTTAGCCAGCCGTAGGTTTCGTTAGCCAGCCGTGGGTTTCGTTAGCCAGCCGTGGGTTTCGTTAGCCAGCCGTGGGTTTCGTTAGCCAGCCGTGGGTTTCGTTAGCCAGCCGTGGGTTTGGTTAGCCAGCCGTGGGTTTCGTTAGCCAGCCGTGGGTTTCGTTAGCCAGCCGTGGGTTTCGTTAGCCAGCCGTGGGTTTCGTTAGCCAGCCGTGGGTTTCGTTAGCCAGCCGTGGGTTTCGTTAGCCAGCCGTGGGTTTCGTTAGCCAGCCGTGGGTTTCGTTAGCCAGCCGTGGGTTTCGTTAGCCAGCCGTGGGTTTCGTTAGCCAGCCGTGAGCCCTCCGAAAGCGCTCTCAGAGTGAACGCCGAAGTCGCTGGCGTTGTTCAACTCGCAGCGCGCAACCGCACGGCATTCACTGGCTCGCTCTCGGAGAGAGAGCGAGAGAGAGGGCTGTGAGGCAGAACCACAGAGAAAGGTGGCAGTGGCAGCAGCAGCAGTAGCCAGGTCGGTGAGCCCGGATTACGAAACAACTGCCCAAGCTCTGCGTTCCTCTACACAATGCACGTGAGTGAGTGGGTGTGTGTGTGTGAGTAAGTGTGTGAGTGAGCGAGTGTGTGAGTGCTAAATGTGAACAGATATAAATAAAGTAGAAAGGGGGGTACACATTGTACAAGCACTGTACACAGACATTCCTGGCGATCTGTCAACACCAAATGCAAGCTTGGGGGAAGGTAGCAGAACAACAATCTCAAACTACACCAAGACGACAACAACAAGTTCCAGACACCACCAAGACAACAACAACAGTCCCAGACCACACCAAGACAACAACAACAGTCCCAGACCACACCAAGACAACAACAACAACAACAGTCCCAGAGCACACCAAGACAGGATTTCAGTCCTTCACGGCGTAGTGTGTTACCAATTGTTTTCTTGGTGACTATGGTCCCAGCTGCCTTGAGATCATTGACAATAACCTCCCATGTAGTTCTGGGCTGATTCCTAACCGATCTCATGATCATTGCAATTCCACGAGGTGAGATCTTGCATGGAGCCCCAGGCCGAGGGAAATTGAAGTTCTTTTGTGTTTCTTCCATTTGCGAATAATCGCACCAACTGTGGTTGATTGCTTCTGTGGACAGGTGTCTTTTATACAGGTAACAAGCTGAGGTTAGAAGCACTCCCTTTAAGAGTGTGCTCCTAATCTCAGCTCGTTACCTCTATAAAAGACACCTGGGAGCCAGAAATCTTTCTGATTGAGAGGGGGTCAAATACTTATTTCCCTCATTAAAATGCCAATCAATTTATAACATTTTTGACATGCGTTTTTCTGGATATTCTTGTTGTTATTCTGTCTCTTACTGTTCAAATAAACCTACCATTAAAATTATAGACTGATCATTTCTTTGTCAGTGGGCAAACGTACAAAATCAGTAGGGGATCAAATACTTTTTTCCCTCACTGTAAACCGTGGTGGGTTGACGGGTTTGATGTTGTTCATTATCATGCTGAGGATGTGTCGTGTTTATTAATATGGGAGGAATAAGGGAAGATGGCGCAAAGGTTGGGGAAATTAAATCAATAGTTAATTTACTTTGGGGAAAATAATTATACTTGGTGTCTCTCCACATGAATGTATATTGTCCCGCAGAATTGACACTGAATAATAGATCTATTCATTAGCACCCGTGTTTAAAATTATATTCTTCTGGGAGTGGAACACAACCAATAAGCATGAGAGGTTTACGATATGGCAATAAGACAACGCCCATTCATCAACTCTACATGTCAACAACATCAAGCTGCAACTTTATCATTTATAACCGTCGACGTACAAGGAAAGAGAGAAAAAACACACCAAAGTGCATGATTTTTTTTATTGTAAATACATTTTTGGATGATGTAAAAACAACAACAACAAAATGTGAGAAGCGAGCAATCAATGAATATCGACGCGTTTTTCCCGAACTGAATCGGGCTGCGTCGGCAACGACTCCATCAAATCTGAGCAACATCAAAGATAAATGATGGACTCTTAGGGTCTTTCGGTAAAGTCGCGCTGATAGAAAAATAATATTTTTTTAAAAATCACGAAGTTTCGATCGCAACACGAGCAACCGTCTTCAGGTGACAAAAGACAGCAGGCGAACTGCTGAGGCAGTAGAAATATAAGCGGGAGAGCTGCTGCTGCAACAAGAGGTTATATGGGTTTTAGATGGGTGCAACAGGCAATCGTCTTCACCTGAAGACGATTGCTGGTGTTGCGATCTTCACCTGAAGACGATTGCTGGTGTTGCGATCTTCACCTGAAGACGATTGCTGGTGTTGCGATCTTCACCTGAAGACGATTGCTGGTGTTGCGATCTTCACCTGAAGACGATTGCTGGTGTTTCCATCTTCACCTGAAGACGATTGCTGGTGTTGCCATCTTCACCTGAAGACGATTGCTGGTGTTGCGATCTTCACCTGAAGACGATTGCTGGTGTTGCGATCTTCACCTGAAGACGATTGCTGGTGTTGCGATCTTCACATGAAGACGATTGCTGGTGTTGCGATCTTCACCTGAAGACGATTGCTGGTGTTGCCATCTTCACCTGAAGACGATTGCTGGTGTTGCCATCTTCACCTGAAGACGATTGCTGGTGTTGCGATCTTCACCTGAAGACGATTGCTGGTGTTGCGATCTTCACCTGAAGACGATTGCTGGTGTTGCGATCTTCACCTGAAGACGATTGCTGGTGTTGCGATCTTCACCTGAAGACGATTGCTGGTGTTGCGACCTTCACCTGAAGACAATTGCTGGTGTTGCGATCTTCACCTGAAGACGATTGCTGGTGTTGCGATCTTCACCTGAAGATGATTGCTGGTGTTGCGATCTTCACCTGAAGACGATTGCTGGTGTTGCGATCTTCACCTGAAGACGATTGCGGGTGTTGCGACCTTCACCTGAAGACGATTGCTGGTGTTGCGATCTTCACCTGAAGACGATTGCTGGTGTTGTGATCTTCACCTGAAGATGATTGCTGGTGTTGCGATCTTCACCTGAAGACGATTGCTGGTGTTGCGATCTTCACCTGAAGACGATTGCTGGTATTGCGATCTTCACCTGAAGGCGATTGCTGGTGTTGCGATCTTCACCTGAAGACGATTGCTGGTGTTGCGATCTTCACCTGAAGACGATTGCTGGTGTTGCGATCTTCACCTGAAGACGATTGCTGGTGTTGCGATCTTCACCTGAAGACGATTGCTGGTGTTGCCATCTTCACCTGAAGACGATTGCTGGTGTTGCCATCTTCACCTGAAGGCGATTGCTGGTGTTGCCATCTTCACCTGAAGACGATTGCTGGTGTTGCGATCTTCACCTGAAGATGACTGCTGGTGTTGCGATCTTCACCTGAAGACGATTGCTGGTGTTGCGATCTTCACCTGAATACGATTGCTGGTGTTGCGATCTTCACCTGAAGACGATTGCTGGTGTTGCGATCTTCACCTGAATATGATTGCTGGTGTTGCCATCTTCACCTGAAGACGATTGCCTGTGTTGCGATCGAAACGTCGTGATTTTTAAAAATTATTTTTCTACCTACGTGACTTTACCGAAAGGCCCTAAAGCGTATGAATTCATGCAGTCACGAAAGCTTTGAGTCAACATAAATTATATATTTACAGGTTTTATTATCTATTCATTGATGGCCAAGCGGCATTGTGGTAAGCTCCCAAACCCCATCCTCACCTCACCCTGCCCAGCGATTCGCGGAATCGCCCAGCCTCACGAACCACTTCAATTTCAGATTTCCCTTCCGTCTCGTATTCACCATCTCATTTTAATTGTTTCTGCCCCCTTTTTTTCTTGACATATACGTCTCGTTTGGAGTTCCGTTCGCTCCATTATTTGGATGTAACATCAGCACGTAATTTGCAAAAGTGAACGGCGTGGTATGTATATGTAC